ATCTCTCTGATGGGGGAGATCGGGACAACAACACCAGGACACACTGATGCTCAAGGCCATATCCCGTGTCTCCATGGAAACCCTACTTCCCCTCCCATGCCTGCACACACTGGGACATTCATGTTCCTGCTGACCAAGACACCCAGCTCTCGGGGTCCCTGCCCTAGTCACCCCATCCTGTCCCTCCCCAAGTCTGCATTGGGGCTGCCAGCCTCATCTTCCGCCATAGACGGTGATGGTGGGGTGTAGCTTAGGAATACAGGTTCACCCTTGGTTGGACAGCTGGAGGCTGGGCAGCTGGGGAGGGGCTGGGCCTTGGAGAAGCCCAGTGACTGCAGCCACAGACCCTGCTGAGTCACCGGGAGGCTGAGCCTGGTTCTCAGGGGTGACACAGTGTCTCAGCGGTCCCTATGCTTGAAGTAGCGGGGAGCAGTCTGGATTTATGGAGGGATCCAGGGGGATAGAGCAGGGGAGCCACAGGCAGCCCCTACCCAGTGTAGTCCGGGTGGAACCTGCGGCTGAGCTCAGATGCCATCTGACCTCCTGGGCTCAGGGACCAGGGGAGGGGTAGGTGGAACCAGCCAGGAGCCCAGAGAGGGTGGGGTATGAGAAAGGGGGGTGTCTGGAGCTGAGAGTTTGGCTCGGGTCAGGAGACACTGGAGAGAAGCAGCCAGGCCAGCCTCCAGGAGCCTGCTCTGTGCTCCGTGGCCCTCGTTAATTTGTGGGAGGTGTGGGGGTGGGACGTATGTTTCCTTCTTCTGGGAGATAGCAGGAGCCCCCAGAAAACACCCCCAGATATGCCCCCCACACACATTCTGGGGAGATCTGACGCCTGGAAGTGAGAGGTTTTTGAAAAGGACCTGTGCTGTGGCCCAGTGTACGTGACAAGGCCTCCAGCCCCCCACCTGCACCCCGCTCAAGGCCCAGCTCTGTCTGAGACTGTGATCTGAGTCCCGTTCACCTCTCCGTCCTCACCTCCCTGCATCCCCTCCCACCTACCCTGCTCCAGCCACATCGTCTGCATGTTGTTCCAGAAACACACCAGGCTCATTCCTATCTCAGGTGCTTTGCTTTTTCTGCTCCGAAAGCCTCTCCCTCTGGTTTTTGCATGACTGCCTCCTCATCAATCAGGCGTCATTTCAATGCCGCCTCCTCAGAGAGGCCCTCCCTGATCACTCTCCTCCGTGCAGGGGCAAGAACAGTGGCAGAGGGGACCGCCCTCCCAGCCCCATCCCAACTCTAGTGCTAGTATGTGAGAGATACAGTCACCCGTAGATCCCTCTTTCCTATTCATGATAGAACAGTCAGTACCCGTCCAGATCATACACACACACACACACACACACACACACACGGCACATACATATACCCTGCCCACAATGCAGGGCACAAGCACACTCTATTCACCGAACACAAAATCTGTACCCCAACTTCAAACACCCAACCCACATGCATACATTCTTTGTACATCCCACACTGTGTGTACACACAATGCAAACACACAAGAGCACATGTACACAGCACTCACACTGGCCTCGCTGATGGGTGCGTGCACACACACACACACACGTGCACACACGTGCACACGGGCGCCCCCTCTTCCTTCAGCAGCTGCCCACCCCCCTCTGGCGGGAGAAGGGGACCGGCGGTGACCGGCGCGGTGCACCCACCACCTGGCACTGCGCTGCGGATTATTAGTTCCTGGTAATTTAGTGCCCTCGTACAGAGTCGATTTGTGCCTTTCATTCCTAATTGATCTAGTGGCTGTTTAAATGGCAGCAGGCATCTGTTGAGAGTAGGAAGGTTCATCAGGCGCAATAATTCATAACACCGCCTGGAATTTGCCTTTCGTGTCCCTCAGCTAGCGCGCCGCGGGCTCTGCTTAAATCACAGCCGCCACCGAGGCTTCCTTTGGTATTCCGCGCAGGGGCCAGGAGAGGCTTGCATTAAACTGGGATCAGCTCAGATTAGGCCATAATATGCTGCGGCATTAGTGGCTGCAAATGAAGACTTACGCCGGAGTTTAACCCTTCACCTGCTCTCTCTTTGTTTTAGCCGCTGGCTAAGCGAGCTGCGGTTTTCCCTGTCAGCTTCCGGGGAGGGTGGGGGGAGCGCTGAATAGGTCTTCCAGAGATTTGGGGCCACAGATGGGCCACATTCAGACAGTGACCCTTTTTTCCTGCAGACAGAAACCCAGCCTGCAGGCCAGCTGTTTATGCATCAGCTCCCAGAACAAGGGCAGGGAGGCAGGGTCCAGGGCAGGCCCTGCGAGCCAAGCAGCCCTCCTGAAGTGGGCCCTCCCCCCTCCCCCCACTGCCCCTGAGCCTGAGGAGAACGGCCAGCGTAGATGGGGGCTAAGCACCTGGAATTATGGGAACCCCGGAGTGGACAGGCTGGGAGGGTCAGCCCTGTGAGGCTGGGCGTCAGCCCTCCTTGCGTTGTGTTTGATCACAGTGTGCCCGGGGGAGCACTGTCCAGTGTCCTTTCAAGTCTTGTGCTTTCCCATGTGGCAGCCATCAGTTAAAATTAAATAAAGTAGCTGAAACCGGTTTGGCTCAGTGGATAGAGCGTCAGCCTGCGGACTGAAAAGTCCCGGGTTCGATTCTGGTCAAGGGCATGTACCTTGATTGCAGGCACATCCCCACTAGGGGGTGTGCAGGAGGCAGCTGATCGATGATTCTCTCATCGATGTTTCTCTCTATCCTCTCTTTCTCTCTGTAAAAAAATCAATAAAATATATATTTTTAAAAATAAAATTAAATAGCCAAAACCGGTTTGGCTCAATGGATAGAGCGTCGGCTTGGGGACTGAAGGGACCCGGGTTCGATTCCGGTCAAGGGCATGTACCTTGGTTGCGGGCATATCCCCAGTAGGGGGTGTGCAGGAGGCAGCTGATCGATGACTCTCTCTCATCGATGTTTCTAACTCTGTATCTCTCTCTCTTCCTCTCTGTACAAAATCAATAAAATATATTTTTAAAAATTAAATTAAATAGCCAAAACCGGTTTGGCTCAATGGATAGAGCGTTGGCTTGGGGACTGAAAGGTCCCAGGTTCGATTCCGGTCAAGAGCATGTACCTTGGTTGCGGGCACATCCCCAGTGCGGGTGTGCAAGAGGCAGCTGGTCGACGACTCTCATCGATGTTTCTAACTCTCTATCTCTCTCCCTTCCTCTCTGTACAAAATCAATAAAATATATTTTTAAAAATAAATAAATAAATAAACAAATAAATAAAAATTAATTAATTAATTAATTTAATTTAATAAAGTAAAAACTCAGTGTCCTAGGCACAAGTCATCATTTTTAATCCCCACCCAAGGATACGTGTTTACTAAATTTTAGAGAGAGGGATGGAGGGAGAGAGAAACATTGATGTGAGATAGAAACATCGATCTGCTGCCTCCCATATCACACCCACAACCATGATCAAACCCACAACATAGGTATGTGCCCTGACCGGGAATTGAACCTGCACCCTTTTGATGTATAAGACGACGCTCCAACCTATTGAGCCACCCAGCCAGGGCGGCAATCATATTTTAAACGTCCCTTGACCTCGATTAGTTAGTGGCTATGTGTGGGAGGGCAGACAGTGGAGAGCGTGTCCATGTGGCAGGAATGTTACTGGGCAGTGCTGGTCAGAGCATCCCCTCTCACAGAGGCCCGGGGGCCAGGCCTGACATATGCTTCCTCCTCTCCCAGCAGGCAGAGCTTCCTCAAAAAGAAAGAGCTAGATTGTGTGGTCCCAGGGGACTGAGAGAGAAAGAGATGGGGGGATGTAAATGCTTTTTGGTGACCACCATGGGAAAGAAGAGGGCTCCAGTGTCAACAACCCATGCAAACATATGCACAGTTCTGGGAGTTAAAACATAGTCATTTACACATGCTGCAGAGAAATAAGAGTGATATGCACTTCTATGTGCACACAGGTGTGCACACATAACATATATGCATTCAGCAAACACTTGTTGGGATCTTCACGCCTCTGCTAGACTCTGAACAGACTGTGGTGAATAAGGGGTGGGCTTGCTTCCTGCCCTCATCAGTTCACATCCTAGTCAGGAAGGTAGGTGATAAAGCAAAGAGCTCAGGGAGCCATCAGCATTGCATGAGGGAGAGGCATTCAGAGGAGCTTCCCAGAGTGGGTGGCGTCTCCACCGAAACCCACAGTGCCAGCAATGTAAGCCTGTCAGCTTACAGAATACATCACACACACATAACCTGCTCACTCACATGCTCTTCATTTCCTAATTCATTGTCCGTCACTGAGAATTAAGTGCCTTCTATGAGCATGCAGGGCAAGGCCCTAAGGATACAACCCTCATTAAGACAGGGACAGTCCTGGAGAACAACGGTGAGCAAATATGATGCAGATAACCAGGTGGTTTCGGATGTGCTAGGTGTGTGATGACGGGAAAGTGCAGGGAGGTGATATTCCTGTGATTGGGTGTCTGACCTGAACTGAGTCAGCGAACAGATGCAGAGCAGGTGGAGACACCTGCCTGCACGTTCAACCAGAATTCAGGCTCATGCTCATCCCCTGTAAACATTCCCAGACACACTGACACTGCCCTGAGCTAGCTCCAGGCAGCCAAGAATGAGTGTCTGGCCAACCGCTGATGTTCATGTCCGGGACTTGTTCTGACACCTCCCACACTTCCTTCCTGGTTGACCTGAAACCAGAAAGGGACTCCTACTTCTCTGAAGGGTTACACCCCCCACCCTCATCAGATACCCATGCAGGTTACCTTACCACAGAGAAAAGCCAGGCACGGATGAGGAGGATAGCACCCTCTGCGCTCAGGGATGGGAGACTGGGTTTTCCCTCCAGGGCGTGAGCTGCTGCCATCTGGGCTGACCGTGGGGACTGGGGACGGTCTCAGGAGAGGGGCCTTGGGAGAAGAAGTGCGGGGAGCATGGGGAAGGGGCCCTCATGGCTTCTGAGCCCAGCCGGCCGCAGGTCTCTGTGCGCATGTGTGAGCTCTTGCTGTCCCCACAGGCACCCTCTTTTCCCGCTCCTGACGCTGCTGTTTGAGAAATGTGAACAGGCCACCCAGGGCTCGGAGTGCATCACCTCCGCCAGCTTTGACGTGGACATCGAGAACTTTGTCCACCAGCAGGAGCAGGAGCACAAACCCTTCTTCAGCGATGACCCAGAGCTGGACAATCTGGTAAACACCCTCCCTTCCCGCCCCGGATAGGTTCTCCGTCCCCTGTGGTCCCTCCAAGTGCTCTGGAAATGATCCTTTCGCTCGTTCAGCAAAAGGCGTTGTGTGCCACCCTGGGCCAGGCACTAGGTGGTCCTCTAGCCACTGAGAACCATTTCTGAGTTCCCTGAACCAAGAGCTGCAGGCACAGGTCTGGCTGCCCAAGCTCTCCCCTTCTCTGGGCTCTGCCCGCTGCACACCTGCATTCCCTTCAGCCTCTTGTCGCGCAGACGCAGACAGGAGGAGAGGAGGGGCGTGGCACCAGGATCTCTGGGGCAGCGGTTCTGAGGGCTGGAGCCCTGACGCATTAGTCACTCGCCAGGCTGGTGTGCTGCAGGGTGGAGGGTGAGGGGACAGGCGCATTCAAGCCCATCAGCAGCTCGAGAGACCTGGAGGCACAGTCCTGTTGAGAAGGAGGCCAGCGGCTGTCCTGCCCATTTAGGGGGACACAGGAGATAGCGGGATTTCAAACCCAGCGTGTTACCCAGGTCACGACTGCAGCCTGCTGTTCCGTGCAACCGGGACATGCCAGCAAGTGTCTGGCCCCGTGCTCCCCTTGCCAACACTCTCCCCGGGTCTCCAGGTCTGCTCACTCCCGTAGGCAGAGTTCTGATTCAGTCCAACAAACCCTGGTCAAGGGCCTGCGGTGTGCCAAGCCTGGGGAAGTGGGTGTTGTCGAAGCTGCCCCGGTGGCCCCAGTCCTCAGGTCACCAGACTGGGAGTGATCTGGTGAGTGGAGTTGTCCTTGGATCTCCCACCCCTCACGTGGCCTGATCTACCCAGATGAGTAGCCATGGTCCCCGTTGGGAGATGGGTCAGTCGATTATTTTATTTTTTCTGTGATTTAAAATTTTTTAAAGTTATAGTTTACGTTCAGTATTACTTTGTATTGGTATCGGGTGTGCAGCATAGTGGTTAGACAACCATCTACTTTACAGAGTGTCCCCCAGCGATTGGTCCGTTGTCCCCATGGGGCGAAAGACCAGGGCCGCCTTCCCTGTTGAGCATCTGCGCGACTTTGCTGACTTCGAAGCTTGGTTTCCTTGCGTTGTAGATCCAATACGCCCATCTCCAGTGACTGTAATAAAAACATGAGTGAGATGGCTTGTGGAACTAAATGGCCTTTAAAAACGCATGCCGTTCAGGTTAGTCTCAAGTGCAGTATCCTTACGCCAAGGCATTCTAGCTTCCCAGCCCCACCTCCCAGCCCCCAAAACTGTACTCAGGGAGCCAAGCAGTGCCCTTGGCCGCCCTCTTGAAGTCAGGAGGGGGAGGAAGAGGCCAACCACAGGAGCCATCATTAGAACAGGAATCATGTAGCCAGCGCAGCCAAGATGCACATAATTAGAAATTAGAAAAAAGGTCAGATCACGTCATTATCAGCTCAATCAGCTGCCGAGTGCCACAGCCAGTTAATCTGGCATCTGTATTTTTTACAACCCCGCACACGTAGCCCAACGGACTGTAACTCTTTATCCGGACAGATATACTGCGCAGCAGAGCAGGGACATAAAATGAGAGACCCCGAGCAAATGAGCTGAGATAATTGAGAGATTTATTTTATATATATGTGCGTGTCAGGGCGGCTCTCTCCTGCCCTTGAATGTTGACTTTCACAGATGAAATTGTCAGGAGGACACGGAGGTCCCCAAAACTTTGTCCCACCCTGGGATCTTGAGCTCTGATTCCTCTCTCCCCTCTTTCTCCTCCCCCTCCAGCCCCCCACCAAGCCACCGCTAGGCATGACTCCTCCCACCTCTAGCTGCGTGATCCCCTCCCCCCAAAGAAACACAATTTGCATGCTGTACCTTCCCCTCCTCCCTGAAGGTGTCCTGGACAAGTTCCCATGGGAACGCTGATGGAGCTCTCCTGGAGCTGCCCAAAGACCAGAGAGGTCCCCAGACTGCAGTTCTGAGGGCACTGCCCTTCCTGGGAGCCAGCTGCTCACTGCACACGAGGAGACACAGCTCTGGAGGGAAGCAGATGAGACAGCACCGTCCAGAGAAGGGAAATTATTTTAGGACCAAGACCAGCCTATGACTCCTCATATGCTTTCCCTCCACTGCATCACCCCCTCCCTTCTCCCTGGGACAATAGAGTCCTACTTCATGGAAGTACACACCCCACCCCTCATCCCCCACCCTCCAGCCAGCCACTGTGGTCAGCAGTTGAGCTGCAACATATGAACCAGGAAGTCAGGGTTCGATTCCGGTCAGGGCATTTGCCAGGTTGCAGGCTTGATCCCCACTAGGGGGCATGCAGGAGGCAATCAATCAATGATTCTTTCATCGTTGAGATTTCTATCTCTCCTCTCTTCCTCTCTCTTAAATCAATAAAAAATATATATATTTTTTTAAAAAAGAGTACCCCCACCAGGTCTCCCCAAGTCCCCACACTATGACCCTCTCTACTTCTCCTTTCCACGCTGGTGGAAAGGCTGGGATGCCCCCAGGTTAGTGCCACAGCCACTATCCACGCCAGTCCCACTCCTACTCTGTGCTCACCAGGCCTCTCTCTTACCTGCCCCCGGGTCCCCTGCTCGGGTCCAACCCCCTCTGACTGGCAGTTGGTAAAGTTTGTAAAATTTGCAAGTCCCCCAAACCCCTTTGAAAGGTAGAAGCTTTTTGTTTTATAAAATCTGATTTACGGGCCCCCAGTGCAGGGCCAAGGTTTTATATATTATGCAAGATTTCAAACCGAGGCTGTAAAACCTATGGTTTCAGTTTCATGCATGGAATTTTTTTATGTGTAAATTTTTTAACATTTATGGGGCACGTTTTAATGAGACTCTGGTGTGGCTCAGGGGACAGATTAGAGCTGCCTGGCTGAAAAGCCAGCTCGAAACGGGGCCCCACAGGCCCCTGGGCCACGCTGAGGAGGCAGGGCCCGAGCCGCGGAGAGGAGCCAGGCCGGAGTTCTGGGCACGCAGAGGCCTCGCCAGCCCCGCTCGGTCTCTCCCTCAGCCTCCAGTGCAGACTCCCTTCGCCCGGACAGCAGCAGGAATCCCACAGATGAGAAAAGGGAAGGAAAACCGTCTGAGCTGGCAACAGTGAGCATCTATAGAGCCCTTGTTAGGTGCCAGGTGTTCTTCCAAACACTTTACATATAATTTCTCACTTAATCTTATTTTCAAACCCACAAGGCTAAGGTGACCAGATCATCCTGCTTTTGGCGGGACAGTCCGGATTTCTAACAATTTTTAAAAAGTCCCGATTGGCACACCCCCAGGAGGGAGGTGTCCAAGAGGCAGCTGATCAATGTTTCTCTCTCATCGATGTTTCTAACTCTCTATCCCTCTCTCTTCCTCTCTGTAAAGAAAAAAAAATCAATAAAATATATATATTTTTTTAAAAGTCTCGATTTTTGGAAAGATTCTTTCCAAAAATCAGGATTTTTTTTAAAACGCTGCTCAACACTGGAAAAATTGTTAGAAATCGGGATCGATCTGGTCACCTTACCAAGGCACATATTATTACTATCATATTATTCCCATTTTAAGACGAGGAGCGGGAGACACGGGGATGTCACTAGCTCAAGGTCACACCTGGCACGCAGCAGAGGGAGCCACGCAGTCGTGCTGCTCCACACTCATCTTGCTGAGTTCTTTCTGTGCACCAGCTCCTCTTTTTAGCTCTTTTCTGGCCACCTTTCATTCAGTCCTCACTATAGCCCTGAGGGAGTCACTGTCGTCCCATTTTACAGAGGAGGAAAGTAGAGTTTAGAGACTCTGTAAACTGGCTGGGGGGCCTCTCAGCGGGTGGGAGACCCAGGACAAAGCCCATGCTCCTCCATTTGGTTCTCTCAGTGGTCCTCTCCACATTTTACAGAGGCACTCAAGGCCTAAGAACCCAAAGTCACCGAGCTGGTATTTGCACCATGTGGGTGTAACTCCGAAGCCCACTGCCTTCCTCTGCACCACGCTGCTTCTCCAAATTGAGGAGAAGCGACCTGTTTTTGACTTAAAAGCGTTTCACTTGTCATGCATAATGAGTTCCAGAAAATGTTCATTCTGTCCCCCCATTATCTGGCCGTTCCCAGTCCCTGGTCTTCGTCTTCCAACTCCCCTTTCTTGTTCCCAATGACCTTACACTTAACAACTGGTTGGGCAGAGCTGGGCAGGTCTGGAACAATTCCCGATTAGGTTTTAGCTTCGGCTGCCCTAATGACCCCCAGGAAACATCAGAGCTAGTGTGTTTATAAACTCCTCCCAGCTTCCCGGCTCACAGAGGAAGCGCCTCCTGAATTGCTGCTTTGCAGGGCACCTCATCTCAGCCTCCGTCCCTCCTCTCCGGGGGAGACATGCCCCGTGGTTATGAGACTCAAATGAGATAATGGAGAGAAGAGCATTTTGCATCTTGTAAAGTGCTTTGCCTGTAATTGATTTGAAAAGCAAGATTTATTACCATCAAGCGAAGAGGCCACGAGCCTATAAGAGAGGCTACTTTTTAGGAGGAACTTGGTTGCGGGAGGGGCGCGTTGGCATAAAGATCTGGCATTTATCAAATAGCTACTCTGTCCCCAGGACATTTACATACATTACCTAATTCCATTTTCACAACAGCTCTACCATGTAAGCATTATCACCCAAACTTGACCGAAAGTTTACATGCTTGTCTGGAATACCCAGGCAGGAAATGAGTGATTTGGAGCATCATGCCACATGACCTTCTGGAAACCAGGAGCCCCATCCAGGTTCTGTCTGGGACCCCTGGGGCTAGTGCACATGGCATGAGATGAAAATATAAGGTTGCAGCTTGCTTTGCTTCTTTGAATGGTCCTTCTTAGAAAATAAGGACTGTTTCTTTTTGTATATATATATATATATCTTTATTGATTTTATAGATTTTAGAGAGGAAGGGAGAAGGAAAGAGAAATAGAAACCTCAATGATGAAAGAGAATCATTGATTGGCTGCCTCCTGCATGTCCCTCACTTGGGACTAAGCCTGCAACCCAGGCATGTGCC